AAGAAGCCTTCCTGACTGCTCTCATCCTGGTGCATCCTAACCCAGATATACCGTTTGTTGTTGAGGTGGACACATCCTCAACAGGAGTTGGAGCAGTTCTATCACAGCGGAAGGGTAATCCTCCCAAACTCCATCCATGTGCCTTCTACTCTAAGAAGCTGTCCCCGGCGGAGCGGAACTATGATATTGGGAATCGGGAGCTGCTCGCCATTCAAGCTTGCGTTAGAGGAATGGAGGCATTGGCTGGAGGGAGGTAATCACCAGTTTGAGGTTATAACCGATCATTGCAACCTGGAATACCTCAGAGAAGCGTAAAGGCTGAATCCCCGTCAGGCTCGATGGGCTCTCTTCTTTACCCGCTTTGATTTTACCGTGTCATACCGACCTGGAAGCAAGAATTGCAAAGCGGATGCTCTCTCTCGTCTTCATCATGCTTCAACCGAAGATTCGCTACCAGAACCTATCCTCCCTCCAGCCATGATCATCAGCCCCATCATCTGGGACATCGACGAGCAGATTTCCCAGGAGAACCTTCATCATCCCGCTCCGCCGGGAGGTCCAGAGGGGGGCGTCTTCATACCTCTCCATCTTCGTGCCGCCCTTCTGGACTCAGCTCATACCGCTCCGGGCTCTGGACATCCAGGTAGCAGGCATACCCTCTCGCTCCTTAGTAATCGGTACTGGTGGCCGTCCATCTCACGGGATGTTTCCAGGTATGTTCGGGGATGCTCAGTCTGTGCCATTACCAACACCCCCAGAAGACTCCCGGAGGGCAAGCTCGTGCCACTTCCTATCCCACAACGACCGTGGTCCCACCTTGGAATTGATTTCATGACGGACCTTCCCAGATCCAGTAACCACACTTGTGTCCTCATCGTTGTGGATCGCTTTTCGAAGGCCTAGAGCCGGTTCCTTCCCTGGGCGGAGTACCCCCAGAATTCCCTTCGGCAATCCACAACTGGGCTCACCCCATTTCAGTGTGTCCTGGGTTATCAACCTCGACTCTTCCCTTGGTCGGGTGAGCCCTCTGAGGTTCCAGCTGTCGATTACTGGTTCCATCAGAGCGAGAGGGTATGGGACTCGGCTCACGTGCACCTCCAGCAGGCAGTGCAGAGGCACAAGGACCAAGCGGATCGTCGTCGTGTTGAACCTCAGCAGTACCAGCCTGGACAAAAGGTGTGGCTTTCGACCAGGGACATCCGCCTCCGCCTGCCCTGCCATAAGCTGAGTCCTCGATACATCGGTCTTTTCACCGTGCAGAGGCAGCTGAACGAAGTCACCTACAGGCTTGACCTTCCTCCACAATACAGGATTTCACCATCTTTTCATGTGTCACTGTTGAAGCCCTTCATTGAACCTGTCACTTCTCCTCCCACAGAAACCGTCCCAGAGGACGTACCTCCTCCTCCGGTTCCAGTCGAGCAAGAGCCCATCTACCGAGTCCGCACCCTCATGGACTCACGGCGACGAGGTCCTCGGCTGGAATATCTGGTTGACTGGGAGGATTATGGTCCAGAGGAACGGTCGTGGGTTCCTTGCGATTATATCCTGGATCCAGATTTCCTCACTCAGTTTCACGTCGATCATCCTGATCGCCCCGCTCCCAGGGGTCGTGGTAGACCTCGTCGCCGTCTTCGTCCCTCGTCTCAGGCGTCGAGAGCCGCCTCGGCGGAGGGGGGTACTGTCAGGATTCCACCAGCTTCACTCACTCCTCCCACTCATTCACAGTCCCCTGAGTTTTAATCACCATCACCTGCACCTCATCAGTTCACCTCCCTTGGATTCAACTCCTCTTCACACACTCATTGTCTGGTCTCGTCTCTACATGACACTATAGACTATCAACAGACTATCAAGTTACTTACCTGCAACTTACCCGCTACCACCTACCTGAGTTCCATCCATCGATCACCTGCTAACCTTCACACGGAAGTTCAGTCTCCAGTCATCAGCCTGTTCCCAGTGACTCTCCATCTGCATCTGTAAACAAAGACTCTGGTTATTCTTCAGCTAAGTTCCATCCTGAATATCGTCTGCTTGCATACTCACCATATCTCTGTCTGGATCTGCAACCTGTAAAGAAACACTATTTCACTTACCACCTGTCTGACTCCTGTTCCATCTGTGATACATCACTGCCACTTTTTTTCTTTTTTCTTTTTTTTTACAACCTTTTAAGTTGAGAAAATCTGATTACATATGAAGAGTTCAGATGCAAAAGCCTCTATCTGAAATTTTCTTCAAGAATTATCATTTTTATCAAGGTAGTATATTTAAGTTCAGTAATTTCACTTAAATGACAATTAATAGGTCATTTTAATTAAGTGAAATTACTGAACTTAAATATACAAGCTTGATAAAAATGATCATTCTAGAAGAAAATTTCAGATGGCACTTAGAGGCTTTTGCATCTGAACTCTTCATATACAGATCTCTGTCTTATGTATAAAATCAAACATGGACTGGCTCCTCCTGTATTGAACCAGTTTGTAAACATAGCACCAACTGGTTGCAGATTAGCAAGAAGTGCAGTAAGAGGTGACTGTACAGTCCCGTTAAGAAAAAGTGCATTCAGTCAAACGGCTTTTTCAGTTAGGGCTGCTTGTGAGTGGAACTCCATCCCAACTCACATTATAAATTTGAATACTTATGCCTCTTTTACACTTAAAGAAGTGGTTAATAGAAAGTCAACATTGGCAACATTAATGTTACACACTAAATCCTGCTGCCGTCTTGTCTCTTCTGTTCTACCAGTTCGAGATTTTTATGCTATGGATATACTGTTTGTTTAGTTGGGTATTGATTGAATGATTAAATAGGCTAAACTTGTTACGAAGCATAGGAGTCATTCAGATCCAAGTGCAGCTTGTCTTTATTAACCAGAGTAGTCACCAGGCAAGGGTCATACACCAGCAAACTCAACAGAGAAGATCAGGCAAAATCGTGGTCAATAAACAGGCAGGATATCAGGGCAGGCAGCAAACAAACAGGATACAGGAACCAGGCAGAAGATCAGGAACAGGCAGGTAAACACATGGAAAAACGCTTAGAAATGTTCACAGTAGCAAAACAAGACTTAGCCCAGAGTGTTGTGTGAGTGTGGCTTAAATAGTGTTTGAACATGAGGTGCAGGTGTGTGTGTAATCAGCGCAGTGCAGGTGTATGGTATAATCAGTCCAGGGAGATGCATGATGGGAAATTGAGTCCGTAATCACCAAGGGAGTGCGTGGCTAATTGTGACAAAACTAGATGTATTATGTATACCATAATAATGTATTTTGGAGAATGTTTGTATTATGTATGCATCATGTATATTTTATTTATTTTTTATTTTTAGGATGACCATTTTACCACCAGTCTAGGGACTGCTGATGTAAAATAGCATTTGGTTAATTCTGGCACATTGCACATTTATTTATTATTGATGTGCATTGTCCCTGTCAAATAAACCTGGAAATAAATAAATAGGTAAAGTACACTGACATTTTTAAAAATTCACATTCAAGTTCAGTTTTAATACAATGAGAACTGGGTTATTTTTCAGTTTGTTCACTGTTGGCTGAAATAAGTTTAAATTTGGTTCTTGTATTGAGAGAGAATAACTGTGAACACTCTTATTACTCTTATTAGCAATTACTCTTATTATCCTCGTTCACTCGGGTGCCAAAGTCGCACAGGTTCCTCACACCGGCTGTTCATATTATGTGGGCCCACGATCACAAACTCATAAATTTTGGGTCACTAAACAGAGGTTATTGGCTATACCTTAGGCTTAGACGGTTGCATTCACGCTTACTCTATCTAAGATATTTTTGTATAGCCCCCTTGGTTGTATACACTTGAATTAAAGAAACGTTTTCTTTAGACAGAGGTCATGACCACTACTACAGATATAAGCCGACCAATATTACTTCTCTGATAGTAGCTTTGGTTTGGTCATACCATAGTTTCCCACGTACATTTAACTAGAGTAACATTACATTAAACAGAGGTAAGACTCACCCTATTTAGGTTGGTCGAGCAACATTTTTCTGTCCTAAACGGAAATTCCCTTTTTGTCTTTACATTCCAAGTACACTTGAATTAGTGCCAAATATTAGCCGGAACTCTAAAATCGCAGTTGGTGTGCCCCATGCTCCACTCAAACCTGGACTCTAGTCCTTCACTAATCTGACGCAGATTTGCGATAACAATGGATACAACGTAGTCTATTAAAATGTTAATAATTTCAAAGTCAGAATAAGTCCAAACGTAACAATTTAGTATGTCAGGTAAATGTATCATGCCAATTACATAATCAGTTTAGAGATAATAAATACAAAACATCAAATGCTCTGGAATAAAGAGAAAATATGCGAACCTGACATTAGAAAATACATGATGCTGAGTGTCTTGAGCACACTCTTTGAGCTACAAATCGTGCCCTGAACTAGTGATGTGACATCTGAAGCGAGGCTCCGGAGCTTGTGTCGAGCAAAAAGGGGCGTTCCAGATGAAGCCCCGATTCGAGGCTTGTGTCGTTTCCGTGAAAATCACGTGACGATAACAAACGAGGCCTCGGATTGTGTTGAATACGTCATTGCTTCATTCTGAGTATCGCTTCCGGATAAAAGTGGTTCGAAACCTCGCGCCTCTCGTGGGTTTTGCAGTAGGCGTTTGCATTGGTGTTGAAGTGTTGGTTGTACGAAGTAGTGAGTAGCGAGTTGTAGCGAGTTTGTAGTAGCATAGTTATCATTATATATCATAGCCTGTATTATATATTATATTACATTATACTTAGTTTAGTAGATTATTAGATTATTAGAGTAAAGTATACATAGTTCAGTAGATTATTAGAGTAAATTAGCCTATATCTAGTTCTAGTTGCTATATATATATACATATATTGGTAGTAGTGTTATTATTGTATATATATATATATATATAATATATATATATATATATATATATATATATTATTGCTATTATTATTATTCTAAGACTAGACTGTAGGGAAAGCCTTAGAGTGCAAACGTTAAAGGCAAACCTAGAGCCCTTACAATGGAGCCAGCAAGAAAGAGGAGAACTTCTCCTGTCTGGGAGCATTTTGAATTGATTGCTCATAACAAGGTTTGTATACATTTATATAATTTATTATCATAACATCACATAATCCTCACCATATCGCTGTATAATCACAATGTGTATTATCTGCATGTTGAAGGTGAAATGTTTGCTGTGCCATAAAGAGCTGACTTACAGCAACAACACCTCTTCAATGCTTAGGCATTATCGTGCAATGCATGAGGATGCACAACCTGCTGCAAACAGACCAGCCACTAGTCAAAGTAATATTTAATCTTAATTTTTTTATTATGTAAATAATGTGTTAGGCTCCTACAATACACCAGCATTGTACTGTGTTATAGATTACAGAAAGAAAATGGTGGATGAGGCTTTGGTCAACATGGTCATCAAAGACTCCCAACCCTTTTCTGTTGTGGATGACGTGGGGTTTAGGGAGCTTGTGCATGTGCTGGATCCATCCTATGTTCTCCCAACAAGAAAGGTATGTATGTGAATAGACTAAAGTAGTTTATTGTTATAAAGTCAGAATGAATAGTAACAATTAATATTTTCATTCTCAGGCTTTGAAGTCCATGGTTGACACCCGGTATGAGGAGGCTAAGGAGAAGGCCAAAGAAAAATTGGACAATGTTGTTGCTGTTAGCCTTACGTCCGACATGTGGACGTCCATCAACATGGAGGCTTACCTGGCTGTGACTTGTCATTTTATTGATGCCAATGACCAGCTTGGGACAATCTTGCTTGGGGTGCAACATTTCCCAAACACCCATACGGCAGACAACTTGGCTATTGCCCATACCATGGCCATGGAGGAGTGGGGCATAAAGGATAAGGTGAGGTGCCTTGTCACGGATGCTGCTGCCAATATGATTGCCTGTGTGAGGGCATTGAATATTAGGCATGCGATATGCATTGCACATGCATTGAATTTAATTGTCAAGAAGTCTTTCGATGATGTGCCAGGCTTAAATGAGCTTCGCACCAAATGTAGGAAGCTTGTAACCTACTTCAGGACCAGCACAACAGGAAAAGAAAGACTGGCCCAAGTGCAGGTGCAGATGGGGAGGCCTGCTCTGAAAATGATTATTGAGGTGGACACTAGATGGAACAGCACTTACAGCATGCTGGAAAGGCTCTATGACCTGAGAGAGCCAGTGGGGGCAGCTCTAGCCTCTTTGAGGACAGATGTAAGCCCTCCTACTTCATTGGAGTATGAAACAATGAAGGATGCTCTCGACCTACTGGCCCCATTCCACCAGGCCACAGTAGAGCTTTCTGCAGAAAAAAGAGTGTCTGCTTCAAAGGTTATTCCCCTAATGAAGATGCTGAACCACACAATAGTAAGAAAATCCGAGGGCTTAACATCAAATATGGCAAGGCAGCTGGCTGACAACCTTGTCCGTCGCGTCAGAGAGCATGCGTTACAAATGGAATCCATTAGTGTGATGACGATGCCTACATTGCTGGACCCTAGGTTAAAAAAACTAGGGTTCCTAAGTCCAGGGAAGCTCCAAGAAGCCATTACAAGACTAAAGTCAGAATGTGCCAATGTTATCAGAAATTCTGAAACAACACCCCCAGCTCAAGTACCTGCCTCACAAGCTGGGCCATCTACAACCTGTGGTAAGTAGTCTATGTCTTATGTGAATTTTCACATTTGTAATGTCATGTAATGTGAACCATTGAGAAGTGAGTGTTTTCCCTTGTATAATTATAGGTGACCTTTGGCATCTACTGGACAGCACAGTGGATAACAGCAGACGGAGCTCCAGTGTGACCGCAGATGCTACTATTGAGGTGGACCGTTATTTGTCAGAGACAAATCTGGCAAGGACTGAGGATCCGCTGGGTTATTGGAACAAACAGAAGCTCCAACATCCCAATTTATATAAGCTGGCACTTACGTTCTTATGTTGTCCGGCATCATCGGTGCCCTGTGAAAGGGTGTTTTCTAAGGCTGGAGAGGTGGTTTCCAAAAAGAGAAACCGCCTCAATCCAAATACTGTAAAAAAACTTTTGTTTTTAAATAAAAATCAGTAAAAATGTTCCCATCCCTGTTGCAGTTTGCTGTTCCACTCCCAGTTCCATAAGCACTACATAATTGTACTCCCAGTTCCATAATCACTACACTATTGCACTCAGTCAGCACTGCACTCAGTGATTTCTTGACACTCATTTGGGGCATTCACTGTCATCACTAACCCAAAGAACTACTGAATACAAAGTTATGTGTGTGTGAGTTGTGTGTGCATAGGTAAACACAAGCAGAGTAAAAAACTTTATTTAATACACAGGCAATAGAAAAAGGGTGTGCCCACACCATGACAATTTGGTTGCTCAGGATGAATAGATTTGTGTGCGATACATTGCTTTGCACAGCAGGTGTCACTAGGGAGCACACTGTTTCATGAGGCTTCAGGTAAACGAACCTTTTGGTGAACCAATGGGCTGGAAAGCCTCAGTGGTTCAGGAAGCCTCATTTGGCCATCACTACCCTGAACCCTCTTCAGCATATCCCTAAATACTCAGAACAAGGCAGAAACCTATTTTCAAATGTAAATGTCACAGTCTTCGTCTGCACCAGTCTGTCCTTGTCTCTTCACTACACTTCCTAGAATCCTCCTTGTCTCCACACCTGAACTCACTCCCTCACTTACCAGCCTGTTCCTCGTTATCATCATCTGTGTCACCTGTCTTCACATCATTATTGTTCATTTGTCTCTGTATTTAGTTAGCCTCGGTTCATTCAGTCTTTGTTGATTGTTCTTGTTATCAATGTGAATGTTAGCACATGTTGAGTGTATGCTGTGTTTCTCGTGGATCTTCAACCTGTCTATCTGCCTGTACCATTTTGTTTCATTTTTATTAAGTAAACGTTTGTATTGGACTTCAGCCTATTGATTCATCCTTCAACCAGCACCTCAACCTGACGGTAAACATGGATTTGCATTACTCACAGTCGCCCCAGACTTACTGGGGACAGAAGTTGCTTTACATGGGGGCACACCCACAGCAGTTAACAAGATATCTCTAAACTCTCCACACCTTATTACCTTTTTGGTTTGCTTCTGTGGGAATGAGACCTTTGTTCCAGTCGCACTGAGACATTTCAAATGATAACAAACATGTATAATACTGTATGATAATTGTACATATTAAACCAAATAGATTTTTGGATGAATTCAGGTATAGGGATGGGTGAAGAATCATATGTAGATTGGGTGGTGATCAACTCAAGTGTGATTGTGTCTCGAATGGGGATGGTAACATAGCAAGAGTTCAAATTTGAATTTCCTTTGTTTTCTCAGAGAGTAGCCCTCTCTTCCAGTTTCTCCAGACTTACTTTCTTTTGTTCTTTTAGCCTTGATATCTTAGCTGCAATATGAAATGTTCAAATCACAGGAAATGTTTAGCCCTACTGGATACGGTAAAATGGATAAGTGAGAGGGCCGGTGGAAAGCTTGCTTTTGACCTTTTTTCAATGTAGGTCCACTGCATGTCACTATCTCCACTCAACATAAACCAATGTAAACCACCAACTCCCTGACTAAAAGCCTTTACAAACTCATCCAATCAATTGTTACGCTGTTCAGAAAACCATTTGAGAATCGTCTCGTTCTGCTTTTGCTGCCAAAGACTTTTCAAGGAGCTTCAGCGCTTAGCCACTTCAGTGGGCAGAGTAGAGTAAGACAGGGGATAATACTGCAGATATCATATCTTGAGAATATCCAGAGCAGCCCCCTTGGTTGTATACACTTGAATTAAAGAAACGTTTTCTTTAGACAGAGGTCATGACCACTACTACAGATATAAGCCGACAAATATTACTTCTCTGATAGTAGCTTTGGTTTGGTCATGCCATGGTTTCCCACGCACATTTAACTAGAGTAACATGAGACCTGTTTCACACACTCATGAAACAGGCTGTCAGAAGGTAATATGGTTCGTTTTTCAAACCTCAGCATTTTTCCTGTGAAATACATTTACACACTGGAATAATTGCATCCTATATGTGCACGTAAAGTTGGCAGATTGTTAGGAGCAAGTGGGATCTGTTTTATCTCCTGAACAGATTTTTGTAAATTCAACAAGGCATGAATTCAACAATGTGCTGAAACATTCCTTGGAGATTTTCATGGAGTTATTGTCAATTGTTGGCCACATATGCGACATGCCTTCATCCACTTTTCACCTCACTCAATAGTATCCAGCTGCAGACCCGCAGCACCACCACTTTCAGAACCCCAGCGCCAGAACCGGAAGTAAGGGGCGGAGCTTACGTTCTAACACCAGCGCCAGGACCGGAAGTGAGGGGCCGAGCTTACGTTCTAAACCGAGTAACGCCATCTAACGTTTTGGAGCGTAGTTTGCTTAGACACGAAACGGAATTATTACACACAAAACGTCATACTTTATACATATTATAATGATACATTAAGGTATAGTACAATAAGCATTTTAAAACGTTGATTTTGTGTAATATAATTCTATATAGTTATCCGTTTCATTGTATTATGAGAGTTACTTCCTGATCATGATGGTGAAAAATAATGCTTGAAACTTATGGTCATTTTATATAAAATATACTTTACTTCACAAGAACATGTGCAGCATGCATTTTTCTTTATGTAAAATAATGTCAAAAATCTAAAAAGAGAGAGAAAATCCGGCATTGTTTTAAAAGAAACAATAAAAATGTACCGTACTTCAAATAATAGCCGAGTCCCAAATAGACGATTGTCTCTTTACATGCCTGGTGTGGCTGCAGGTCTGGGTAAATATAAGGCCGGTCTCAAATAGAGGTCGGGTCTGTTTTTTAGTTTCAGGTTGTATTCTAAAACCCGTCAGATCGTCCGCTTTTTGGCGGCCGCCAAAGCAAATTTTTGTCCCGCCAAAGCCTATTTTGATCGGTGAGTGATGTAGAATAGAATGACTGCTGCGCGTGACAGGGCGCTTAACGAGCAGAGAGAGAGAGAGCCCTGGCCGCGCGCGCGCACTCTGACGTCTTCGAACAACACGAGCGCTGTCTTGCTCTTTATTTGTCACATACCAGTTATAGTTCATACAACGAGCAGTGACTCGCTGTGTAATAAAAACATACCCTAAATATTATTTAAAAGGTGCAACAATTTTAAATATTTTTAAATAGGCCTACTTGCAAAAATGTGTCATTGTAAATAATTCCGCCCCTCCCTCACTTCCGGTTCTGGCGCTGGGGTTCTGGCACTGGCGTTCTGAAACTGGTGGTGCTGCGGGTCTGCAGCTGGATATATCTCACCTCACTAGGTGGTGGCAAGCAACTTAAATTTATTTGTCATTGAATCAATCATTTGAGACATTCATTAAAAATGCTGATTCATCCAATAATAAAACAAGTGAAGTATTTATGAGGGAGTCATTTACTCTAGTAAATTACATGTTATTATGTTTAGTTGTCTGTTCAGAATTGTGATCTCAATTTGAAACAAAAAATCTTGATTCTCAATCGTGCAGATCTAGTCTAATGCTGGGGACCCAAGCATTAGACTAGATCTGCATGACTGAGAATCAAGATTTTTTTTATCACAATAAATTCTCGTTGTATTAACAGAATCACGATAAGAGACTTATAAAGACTGGCTGAAACATTCTAAGACTGAACTGAACACACAGACTGTTTCCAAAGAGTAAAGCAGATTTTAAACACCGACGTTCACAGATTGAATCTTGCACCGCCCGATCTGCTCTCACACAAATCGGGGCCGCCCCGATCATATCAAACATGTTTGATATTTAGAATTTTAAATCGGGATGAGCAAAACTGTGATTACGTTAGTACTGTCACAATAGCCAATAGGGCATGGGCGTAGGTTTGGTCTCAGCTTTGGTGGGGACATCCCATCTGACCCCCCCCCCCCCCCTTCTATTCTATATCAAATTCTATTGATATATTCTATCCTTAAAAAAAGCAAGTTTAACCCTCCTACCAGATATTGTTATTTGGATATTATCAAACAAATAATGATTCATTATATTTGAATAACCAACAGTGTTTACTTTTGCCTTTTTAACATTGCCAACATGTTTTTCCAGACATGTGTCTAGCAAGTAGGCTACACTCACAAATACATTACATAAACAGAATGTAGAAACGAAAAATGTCTGAGATGATCCACTGTTTATGACTGCAAGATTCTAAGTTAAGGTAGGCTAATTAACATTCAGTGACTTGCTAACGTCTATCATGATAGCGCGACTTCTATGAGTCTATATCCGTGCTGCACACCCCTAATTAATGCTCCTAACCTTGAAAGATTGCAGAAGCTAGGTTTAACTGTAACAATATCCTGGGTAACCAGGATCACCAGTTAAAACTATTTTCCACAGTAGAATCTGCATTTGAAAGCATGGTCAGTCACTCTCTGCTACTGCTAGTTATTTGTGTGGCTAGTTATTTTTGCCTACTTACACTCTGCTTTATGAAAAAGCTTCGTATGTCCCCTTTCTTCTTCTTGGGTGACATAGCTGATCTACAAAGTACAAAAAGGGGCAAAAAACGGAATATTAAAATGTTTTACCCTGGCCTTTGTATATGGCATGCAGAGAGACAGACAGCCCTGGTAACTTACCGTCGGCGTCGTCACGCGCGCACACGCACACACACACACACACACGCACACACCACCCGCTCGCTGCCAGTGAGTGCAAGCACAAAAAGTAGTCCCGGCCCGCGCGTGTAGCCTGCCTGTCAGATACCCCGCCGCCAATCAAATTACGCCGTATCTTGTACTGTCGTCGTCCTGGCCGTTGGAATCGATCCAAATAGCAGCGCAAATATCAAAATAGCAGTTCAAAGGAGCTTGCTAAATATTGGTGGGGACAAATTTGTCATCTCAAAATATTGATTGGGACTAGTACCTAGCGTCCCCCCCTAAACCTACGCCCTTGCAATAGGGCTGTCGCGGTGAAGGAATTTCCCTTAAGGTAATTTTGAGTGACTCAACAGCGTGATATGCAGTATTATCGCCATTTATTTATTTATTTATTTATTGCTATATAAATAAGTGT